GCGACCCCATCTGACAGCGGGGCAGCCTGGCCCCCCACGCACGCGAGCCGAGGCGGGAGGGCACAGGAGCTGCTCCCCACGCGGGTGCAGGGGACACAGTCCGCCCTGTGGCGAGGGGAAGGGATGGGAGCTCTGCAGCCCCACACCCCGCCGGAGACGGGGTCCCCCCACGGGTTCCGGGACGGGGCGGGCCTCAGCCCCTCTGGAGGAGCAGGGCTGAGAAGGGAGAGCCAGTGACCCTGCCCGCAGTGGTGTGGATGGCATGATTCGCCCCCAGGGAACCGGCCTGGGGCAGTATCTCCCCCGGCACAGCTCACAGACCAGCCATCAGATGGTAACAGCTTTTAGTCACTACTTGAGGCAGCCAAGCAGCCGCGAGAGGCTGTGTCCCGTCCTAACCCCTAGTTCCCTCCGCGTCCATTGCTGTAGTGAGGTACCACTAGGTCATGTAATCAGTGGCTCTACAAAGGTGCCATTAAATAAGGAGGAGCTAGAATCCTGCTGGAGATGGAAGTGCCCAAAGAGGACAGGAGTAATTGCAGCCAAAACCTGTGTCCTGCAGCTGTTTCTGCATTGTCATCGGCACCCTGTCCCTTGCAAGCTCTGAGCTGCACGCTGATAACCGGGCAAGCTGCTCACAATGCTTCAGTCAAAGGGATGAATAATGGGTTTGAGTGAAATAAAAGTACTGTAATAAAAAGACTTTGCCTCACTGATCCGTGCTCTGTTGTGCCTACTCTTGATAATTACAGTGCCCTCTACATGGGAATGAATATGCAAGTTCTGGAAAAGCCTCACAATACAGCAGCCCATATTATTGGCCAACATCAATAGGCAGAAGTGCATCGCTGCAATCTAGTGCCTTCGGCAACTACACAGACTAAGCTTTGAATGCCAGATAGACACTTCAAAGTCACAGTACTAATCTCCAAAGTTTCTCTTCAAACGGGATGTGTCTCATCTGCCTGAATTAACGTCCATGACTTCTATGCCAGTTGCACTTCTCAGGAATGATGGAGCTGTCCACAACAAGGACAATATTTAGAATGAGTAGAAACAGCACTTTTTCAGTGGACAGCTCATGGTTATGGAACTCCCTTCCCCAAGAAATTAGAATGACTGACTCTCCCTGCTTTCATGTGTAAGTGCAAGATCCAACATTTTCCCCTTAATCACTCCACCCACACACACACACACCAAACAACCCTCTCCCCCAACCAAAGAGCTGGTGCCACAAACCCCTCTCTGTAAGTGGACACAGGGGAGAGAGAGAATCTGCAATTTGCTATCTGCATCCATTTGCTTGCAATGAACTAAGATGCACTGTGGTTACTGTGGTAAAAATATATGGCTAGAAAGGTTATTAAAAGTAGGTGGCTTTAAATAACAAATGTAATTTTTTAAAAGTACTCATGTTTGAAAACTTGACTTCAGGGGCTGGCTGCTTGAGGGCATTTATAAGGAGTCTTTCACATATAGGTCAACACTATGAGTCAAACCCTAGTTGGTAGAAACTAAAAACTATTTCCATCTGCTGGTTGTTATAGTGGCTTTGATCGAGTTCTCAAGGGACAGATGTCTACATTAGGAGACAAAAACAGCATCTCAGTTTACATTAATAATATTGTTGGCATTCACAGCAGAAAGGCTTTACTCTTACTGATGAACAGTTACTTATAGTAGTATTGCCATTAGCTTCAGTGTGATTATCACGTGGGTGACTGCTCACCAATGTGAATAAGGTCTCCACAATCTGGGACCAAATTTTTAGTGGGTTGTGGAAACTGATTTTCACTGGCACTCTAAAACTGGTCTCTCCAGCACAGGGTTGAGAGCAGGGACACTAACATTGCTGTTGTCAGTGTTGTAAATATTCTTTGGATAAATAGAGGGCTTCAGTCTGTCAATGTAGAACATTTCATCAGCACTGAAGGAATAAACAAATATGAAAAACAAACAAAAAACCCATTATGTTTTCATTAGTCCTTAGAACATGAGACTTAGTGTTTGGATGGAAAACATGTTATTTTTAATATTTTATTTATTTATTTTAATCCTTAAATAACAGGTGCACCTTAGAATCATAATAAGCAACACAGTAATAATCCAGAGTTATGAAAATTATGTAATAAAAGTAAACAGCCCTTTGCTTTCTAGAATGGTGCCAGGGGAGGAAATCTTTATCAAGGATGTTTTCTTTTTAAAAAAAGCCCATTTGGAGGTAACAGTTTTTCTTTTGCTTGGGGAAGTACAGTATAATATTGTCCTGACATCAAGTAAGCTTGCCATAAATACCCAAAGAAGCATTTCATAATATTATCCCATACTGTAAGGCCTACACCATCTTATGTAGGCCAAAATCAAATCAAACAGAAGGATGTGTCTGAATTTTGTTTATAGTTGGACAATCATTCCAGTTACCAGATCTATAATGTGTGGTATGAGCAGCATCTGGAAGCAGCAAGAAATCTGTTCAAATTGTATATTGAAATTGGTAATCATATAGCCTTACATGAGACTTGCTTGTACAAAGAGAGTTACTAGAGAGCTGCACTATGCATTATATTCTTATATTATGTCTGTATGCAGTTAGATTGGGATACCTTTTCCATTGCCAGAAGTCCTGTGGGGATCAGGACAGTGAAAACATCAGGGGACATCACTTGCCTTATGCTTTTGAGTAATCTCTAGTGAAATTAGATAAGGATAATTTTTTTTAAAAGGACATTACATATGTTGGTGGTAGGGCTCACTGAATGAACCCAGGGAAAATCTAACTCAGCTGCACTGTTGTCTGCTGAACCTGGACTTCATGAGGTAAGGCTTAGTGGTACCAGGAAGCTGAAGGCAGTCAGAGTGGAAGGAAGACCCTGAAATAATGTAATGGAAGCACTGGCCAAGTTAGCACAGCAAGTATAGAAGCAAACAACTTTCATTCTAATACTGGGAGTGAGGGGAGAGAGGTGAATTGAGTACAGGTCAGTGAGCCTGAGTTCTAATCCCAGCTCTGACACCATCGGTCTGTGGAACTGGACTAACTTGTGGCCAGAATTTCAAATCAGCTGAGCAACTCCAGCTCCCAGTGAAGTCAGTTACTCAGCTTTCAGTTGCACTGAAGGCAGCTGGGGTTGCCCATCACCTCTAAAACTAAAACCATGAATCTCGCCTTTAGTTTTTCTGTTGGTAAAATGGTGATTAAAATACTCACCTACCTCTCAAGAGTCCTCTGTGGATTAATTAGTTAATAGTTGTAAAACAGCATGTAGGCCTGATCCAACTCCTATTAATGTTAACAGGAAGCCTTCCACAGACTTTAATGGAAGTTGAATCAGGCTTTATAACAATATTAAAAGCCGACCAACACATAAAATACTGCAATACAAAACAAAAAATAGACATGGAAATTAGTGTTTTACTGTCCTTCTGGCATCAGTAGTGTTTCCAGCATCAAAATATTGCCCTTTGTATAGAATATCATTTCTGTCCCTAGAGGTAGTCCAGGCTAAAATGACTGTCATATTTTCATTGTTACTGAAAATTCAACCTAGGTATTCAATGTAGGTATTTCTGGCTCCTGACATGTTATTTAGTGCCTGTTTATCAACATTTCTTTATTCTTTTAAAATAAATTAAGTATAAATCTTTATCATGACCGAAGATTTTTCCCCCTGTGTCCCAGAATTAAGACTTAAAAAAAGCTCTCTGTCCCAAAATATTTCTGCCTTGAACTGTTTTTTTTTTTAAAGAAAACTACTCTTAAGATGGTTTAATTTCAAACTTCCCATGTATTGCTGAATTGTAACTGTTATTTCTTTTTCCTGCAACAATTTATAAATTGATTCCTTGAATTTGTACTTTACAGTCACACTTTCAGCCTCTCTTCCCAAGATAAAAAATACTTTCAGTTGGATCATTTATTTACATATAAACTAGCTGTTGCTGGTGTATTTAACATTTTCCTTTTCAATTCCAACAATACCATCTGACTCCCACCCAAGTTCCGTACTTTAGACCCAAGACTGTTCTTCCCCATCAAATACCCTAACAAAATTGTGCACAGGATCCAACGTCTATGGTTCATCTAATGCACCATAGTACTACTTTCTTTTATGCAGTTCTTCATATACGAACTATATCCCAAAATGCTTTCTAGATTTAAATAAAAAATCATGGTGGAAAAGCCAGATTAAGAGGCAAGACAAAAAGAGAGAGACCTTTCTAATTTGGGACTCTGCAAACAGATGGTGAATGGGTGAGGTAGATAGATATATTAAAGCTTTTCCAGATGGCAAGAGCTTCAGAGGCTCTGTCCCAACCGTGGCAAGATTATAAAATTCACAGCCATGAAAAACGTGTCACAGACTGTGAAATCTGGTGTCTCCCGTGAAATCTGGTCTTTTGTGTACTTTTACCCTATACTAGACAGATTTCACAGAGGAGACCAGCGTTTCTCAAGCTGGGGGTCCTGACCCAAAAGGGAGAGTTGCACGGTTATTGTAGTATTGCCACCCTTAATTCTGCACTGCCTTCAGAACTGGGGGGCCAGAGAACAGCAGCTGCTGGCCAGGTGCCCAGCTCTGAAGGCAGAGCCTTGCCAGCAGAAGCACAGAGGTGGTTCTGTGCATAGGTGCCCATCCGAGCTGGATGGTGAGAGAGCATGCGTTGCTGGCCGAGGGTCCAGCTCTGAAGGCAGCAGCACAGAAGTAAGGGTGGCAATACCATACTTACTTCTGCGCTGCTGCTGGCGGTGGCTCTGTTTTCAGAGCTGGGCTCCCAGTCAGCAGCCACCACTGTCCGGCTGCCCAGCTCTGAAGGCAGCGCCGCTGCCAGCAGCAGTGCAGAAGTAACGGGGGCAATACTGCGACCTCCTTACAATAACCTTGCCGACCCCCCCCCAAAAAAACCTCCCTTTTAGGTCAGGACCCCTAGAGTTACAACACCATAACATTTCAGATTAAAATATCTAAAATAATGAAATTTACAATTTTTAAAATCCCGAAATTGACCAAAATGGACCGTGAATTTGGTAGGGCCCTAATTATAAAGAGGGTCAGAGAGGTGGCTAGTGCTTCTGTGATGCAGTCTTCCCTATGTGAAATCAGAAGGTATCCCAATAAACCTTCTACACAACTTGAAAAAGGAGAAATTGATGCTGGTTTGGAAGAGAAACTGATTTCAGAGCTAGACAATAGATTCAGACCCCCATTTTTTTCTTTAGAATGGCCAGTGATGAATGTGCCTAACACAAAACATCTGGAACCTGATTTTCAGAAGCTGTGGATGCTCAGTGCTTTTTGAAAATGCGGCCCAGGGGGGCCAGCTCCTCAAAGGTATTTAGTTGCCTAACTCCCACTGATTTCAATGGGAGTTAGGGGTCTAATATCTTTGAGGAACTGGTCCAGGCAGTTCAAGTGGGGCTCCCGAAAACAGGCCATCAATGACCATTTTATTTTTGAAACATTGGCTGTTAATGCTTATGACTGAAAACAGGTGCGAAGGAAAAGAGATTATCTCCTTAAGGGAGAAAGTTGAAAGGCAGGAAAATGATTTGGTTTAGACCATCAGTTGTTCTTTTGACAAGAAAGCAATGGTGAGTATACTTAAAGTAATCCCCAGTCGTGTAATCAGTAAATCAGAAGATCCTTTCACAGAGAGAAAAGTGAATGAAAAGCACCAGTTTAAGGTAGATGCTAAGAAGGAGGCTGTTTTTTCCCACTTTATCATTTACTCTGTTAAGACATCAGGGTTACAGATAGGACAGGGCAGTTGGTTCCAGTATAGGTTTTTGTTGATGTATATAGTTCCCATGTTGCTGTCATTGACAATAAAAATGTGAACACCAAAAACATACATCTAAACTGACAACACATCAAGGATAATCTAAAAGAACTCTTCCCTCCCGCCCAAATCAAGCCTCCTCACTCAACCCACTCTCAGGAAGAGCCTGAGTAAAGAAATAACACAACTGCTCTGTCACACCAACCTGAGGAAGCAAATTTCAGAGTTGAGTTCCCTCCACACAGAACACCCTGTCATCAGATAAACAAACATAGGGACTGTCAACACATGTATTCGAAACAATTTCACCTGCCGGGCAGGATCCAATTTACCACTGGTGCATGCAGCAATGGAGCTGCACTTATATATGCCAATGACTACCTTGGCCCACCGTGAATTTCATAGAACAACATTTGATTTTATATTGCACTTTTCAGTCTTTGGATAACAACAAAAGACAGGATCTTTGTGGCAAAATTCACATCTGAGAGCAAAAGGCACAGCCTCTTGGCCAACTGAAGATGGATAAAACATATTTAGCCCCTATTTCGTTCTGGATGTCTCTGAACAATGTTGAGTCCAGAGGGACTCTGAGGTTGTGCCTCACTTAACTGGAGGGCAAGCACCCTGTACCGTTGGCAAAATCATAGTTCCTCCGGGATCCTCAAAATGCTTCTTCCGATCCCCCTCGTCACCTTCATCTTTCCTGGATTCAGCTCAAGCCAGCTAATATTTATCCAGTTCTCTTTATCCCTTCCGGCCACTAAGAGAGGAGAGACAGTTTAGTAAGGGTTTTGTCAGCATGTCGATGCCCATAGCAGCTTAGTCTCCCCCAGTAGTCTTATATAAGTTGTGCAAAAGAGGTGACACCAGTGAGCTCCGCATGACTTTATGGGTGGGGACCCTCTGGTTGAAGAGGAGTTGCCCATCACAATTCTTGAGGGTCTGAGTGGAAAGGCATGTTAGCACAGCTCCCTCTACACCTGCTAGATGCCAGAGATGAAGCAATGGCACCTCATAACAGTATTGAAGGCCACTAGTATAGCTACCAATAGGTCAAATCTTGAGACGAGCTGAAAAAAGCTATGTTTGAACAGCATCTGGCTTCTAGATGCTACTGTAATGCAAATAATACAAATAAATAATAGTCATAGGGCGTGAGAGTGCTTAGTGCTATGGTTACGACATACAAAGAGAAATTAGATAAAAACATAAAATACTCTTGCTGCAAGGTAACACTTTACTTTATTGCTTAGTATTCAGAATGATAACAGACAAGAACCCCAAACCAGAGAGAGACTACACAGGCTCTTCCTAAAAGAGAGAGGCACAACTCAACCTCGCTTGCTCTAGGCTGGCTCTCTGCAGAACTTACAGCACAGGTCTAGCTGTCAGGAAGGGCCTTGTCAGACACAACCAGACTTGCTGTTAGGCCTTTTACCCACGTCTGTACTACATACAGTTTTGTTATTTTACTTTCACTCAGGACCTTACAAGATTTGACCCGCTACTGGTATGGGTCCATAGCCATTAGATCAGTGCAAACAGTAACATCTCTGGTCTGCAATCAGGACAGTAACTGAGAAGCTGTGGGAGATAAGCTGCTGCTGTAGCTGGCCTATGAGCACTTTCTCAGCAGGCTTACACAGGAAGGTTAGAGGCAATAATTTGTTGGGGAAGTGGTTAGAATCAAATAGTTTCAATTTTCACTCTGTTTTAACATGTTTAGAATTTCCTGAAATCTTTGGGGCTATAATTGTCCATGCTTGGTTTCTGCCTGAAAGTATTAGCAACTCCCCTTGCCTAGTTTTTATGTTAGGAGTGTGCATGCCAACTCCATCAGGGTTTCCAGGATGTAGAAGAATGCATAGAAGTGTAGGAAGGGACCTCACTAGATCCAGTCCCCTGCACTCAAGACAGGACTAAGTAACAACTAGACCATCCCTGACAGGTGTTTGTCTAACCTGTTCTTAAAAACCTGCAATGACGGAGATTCCTCAACCTCCCTCGGCAATTTGTTCCAGTGCTTAACTGCCCTGACAGTTAAGAAGTTTTTCCTAATGTCCAACCTAAACCTCTCTTGCTGCAATTTAAGCCCATTGCTTCTTGTCCTATCCTCAGAGGTTAAGAACATTTTTTCACCCTCCTCCTTGGAACAATCTTTCATGTATTTGAAAACTGTTATGTCCCCCTCAGTCTTCTCTTCTCCAGACTAAACAAACCCAATTTTTTCAGTCTCTCCTCATAGGTCATGTTTTGCAAACCTTTAATCATTTTTGTTACTTTCCTCTGGACTTTCTGCAATTTGTCCGTAGCTTTCCTGAAATGGGGCACCCAGAACTGCACACAATACTCCAGTTGAGGCCTTATCAGTGCGGAGTAGAATGGAAGAATTACTTCTCATGTCTGCAGTGTTCTAACACTGTGTGGCTCATCACTATCTGAGGTTTTAAAGTGTTAGTTCAAGCCTCTAGCAGGATTAGCTCACCACAAAATCACTGATTCTTCACAGTGATAATGTAAATAATGTAAATTGAGAACACCCAATTAACCATTGCACTGCACCTCTTGTGGTCATTCCCACATTGCAAAGCAGGTACAGTGGAGTCGCATCTTACGCGGGGGTTAGGTTCTAAAGTCAGCGCGTAAGGCGAAAATCGCATATAGTCAAAATTATCCTTGAAAATCCCTTAAATCGCCCATACAGTACAGTATACATGGTTTTGTGTACATTATACAACCCTGTACAGTAATATGTATAAATGTATACAGTAATGTACAGTATATAATAGAGTACATATGCAAAATATAATTTTACAGTACTGTATTTTTAATTACATAAAAGAGAGAGAGAGAGAGACAGAAGAATGAAAGAATAAAAAGGGAAAACAGTAAACCTAACCACTCACCATTCATCCTGGATATTCCTGCTAGTCTATGACAATGATGACACTATTGGGGGGTCGTCAGGTCTTGATGTCGATCCAGGAGACGATGGGCCAGGCTCATCTGCTGCTGGTTGTTTATTCTGGAAAAACATTATGATCGGCAACTGTTGCTGTGGTCTCTTGAGCTGCTCAAACATTTCTTGATACGGTCTCAAATCGTCCGTAATACTACGTGTGATTTTGAGGCTTTGTTCTATAGAGGGATCGTATTCAGAAATTAAATCATTCAAGTGTTTCACTGCTTGGAACACTTCAGCAAATTTATGAAGATTCCAACTTGCTGGCTCTTCCTGTTCGTCGTCGTCATCTTCGTCTTCTGTAGACAATTTTATCAGTTCCTCTAACTCTTCGTTAGTCAATGTTTCTCTATGGCTCTCAATTCATTCTTCCATTTCTTCCTCAAGGATGTCGACGAAGCCATCACCACCCACTTGCCTGGCCACCTGAACAATGCATTTCACGTCTTTGTCAATGGTTGGGAAACCCTTAAAATCATTCACACATTCTTTCCATAGGTTTCGCCAACATGCATTGACTGTTTCAGGCTTGATTGCATCCATTGCCTGTTTAATATAAGTGATGCAATCGGCATGTTGAACGACTTCCAATACTCCATCACATTAAGATTGGGATCAGCATCCATAGTGCTACGTATCGGTGAGAACGTAAGCCTCGTGTACGTGGCCTTGAAACAGGGAATCACGCCTTGGTCGAGAGGTTGGAGGATGGAGGTGATATTGGGGGGGAGAAAGATGACCTCAACATCATTATGCGCAAACCAGAGTGCCTCAGGGTGGCCAGGAGCATTGTCTACGATAAGCAACACTTTAAAGTCAAGTCCTTTCTCTTCGAGGTACCGCTTGACCTCCAGAATGAAACACTTGTGGAACCAATCCAGAAATAATACTGCCATCACCCAAGCCTTTCTATTTGATTGCCAGAATACAGGCAGGAGATTTTTTGTTCTTGCCTTTTAGGGCACGGGGATTTGCAGCTTGTAGAGCAAGCCCGGCTTTATTAAATCCCCAGCCGCATTGCCACAAAACAACACAGTCACACGGTCTTTAGCTGCTTTGAAAGCCAGGGGCTTGTCTTTCTGATTTTGAAATGTAAGTGCAGTTGGGCATTTTTTTCCAGAAGAGCCCAGTCTCGTCAGCATTAAAAGCTTGTTCCAGAAGATAGCCCTTTTCTTGTATGATTTTCTTTAATTGTTCAGGGTAGGCTTTTGCTGCCGCCATCGGCAGATGCAGCTTCATCAGTAGTCTGCACGTTTTTGAGGTTGAAGCGGTTCCTAAAACTGTTAAGCCAACCTCATCTGGCTTTGAATTCCTTCTCATCAGAAGGCTGTCCCTCTTCGGCGGGAGGTTTGAACGTAGAGGCTAAGAGCCTTTTCTCGCAACGTGTTGCCATCGATAGGCACATGTTTACGGTTCATGTCTTCCAGCCGTAAGTTTAATGCCTTTTCAGTCTTCACTAAAGTCTTATCACGCACCTGGCTCGTCACCTTAGCAGTTATTGGAGCACTTGATGCCACAGCTTGATGAATTTCTCTCTCTCGAATCTTGATGGCACAGATGCTAGATTTGTTGCGGCCATATTTACACGCCACGTTGGAGACCGACATACCGTCTCTCAATAAGTCCAACACAGCCAGTTTTTCCTCCAGCGTTGGAACAGATCGCTGTTTCTTTGGTTGAGCATGAGATGAAGTAGTTGGCTTGTGTTTAGGGGCCATGTTGTATGAAAAATACATATCTTTAAACACTAGAATCACACTCAGCACAGCAAGATGCTCACACTATGAGAGTCACGCAGAAACTTAGACCGACTGAGGGAACAGCAGATTCACGTCTCCCATCTCACACTCACTCCGGGGCATACGCTCATTGCGCACGTATAGTTGAATTCATACGCACATTTAACTTACGTGATGCAACTCCACTGTATGTGGAATTTTTACACCCACTTTGGGCTGGTGTGAGTGACCACACAAAGTGCAGGGCAATGGTGAATGTCATCACTCGGTCCCATCCATCGCTCTGTTCAGCCAAGACAAAATGTTTCTTCATTGCAAGAAGACATCTCTAGGTGCCCTAGCCTTTCCATTTGAAGATGGCCTGCAAAGGAAAAACACAGGCTATTGCCCCTTTTGCTTCTTTATGATGTATAAAGACCTGAAGTTATTTAAAAAGAAAATCAGCTTGTTTTTACTTTAGCAGGTTCTGTTCAAGATGAAAGACTCTGATGATTGAGGAGTTAGTAATGGTGATGTCACAAGAGATTACAAAGTGAAAGTTGAGCTCAGAGGGGAATGGATTTTTATCAGACTGTTTAAAACTCCTTCATTTGTTGATAAAACCTATTTAGGTGACTAACATTTTCAGTTGAGAATGCCTTTGTTAAAGATCCTTACACACTTCTTCAAATAAAGTGATGAGTGCTCATAATTAGAGCTGGGAAAATAGATTTTTTAGTTGTTGTTCATGTGCAATTCTGAAAAATAAAAAAAATTCAGTGGTGTCAAACAAACCATTTTTAAAAAATTTTCAGTAAAAAGTTGAAGAAAATGTGGGTCAAATACAGCATTTCATTTTGATTCTGTGCACTTAACTTAAAAAAAAATTAGAGGAAATTTCAAAACAAAAAATCATTTTGAACGAAAAATAATTGAAACATTTCATCTTAAAAATGTCAAAACAAAACATTTAGATATTGGGTTTTTTTCCAACCAGAAAAAAAAATCACTATATGTTAGGGTTACCATATTTCACAAATAAAAAAAAGAGGACCCTCCACGGGGCCCTGGCCCCGCCCATTTCCCACCTCGGCCCCGCCCTAACTCCGCCCCCTCCTCCCTCCCACTCCCAGCCACGCGAAAAGGGCTGCCCGAGCACTACTGGCCTCACAGTTTGCCGGGCAGCCCCCAGACCCTGCGCCCCCGGTCGGCGCTTCCCCAGCGCAGCTGGAGCCCGGGAGGGGAAGCGCCCAGCCGGGGGCACAGGGTCTGGAGGCTGCCCGGCAAACCGTGAAGCCGGTAGCGCTTAGGCTTCGGGCAGCCCCCTGGCCTCCGGACCCTGCGCCCC